TTCTGTCAGGCATCTGTGGCTGCTCTGATCGGAAGAGCAAACGTCTGAGCTCCAATTACAGTCATATATCTTGCACGCGTTTTTCTTCTTCAAAAAAAAATGATACAGAAAATTGTCAAAGAAATTTTCCCTAACATCATGCTATGCACTCAAGAAACTGAATGGACTTCAAACAGTATAGACCTCAAAAATCAACAAAGCATATTATAATCAAAATTTTCAAAATCAAAGACAATAACCCCAAGAGCAGCTCAGGAAAAATGAAAAGTTAATTGAGTAGACTAAGCTTTTGTTTCTCAGCAGAAACCATACCAGCAAAAAGACAATGGGGTGACATATGTAAAATTCTAAAAGAAAAAATAATTGGCAATCAAGAATCATATGTCCAGAAAAATTATTTGTCAAATATGATGGCAAAATTAGGACATTTCCAGATAACAATAAATTTAAATAATTTATAAAAACCCAGATAAAGTAGTATTAGAATTTAAACAAACCTACAAGACGAAAAACAGGGAACCAGAGATACCAGTTTGCAGCAACAACAACAAATAAATAAAATGAGGGAATAATGTAGTTACAGAACTTCCAGATGAAGAGGAAATCAAGTAGATTTCAAGAAATAAAATAAAATAAACCTAATTGAAAGATGAGGCTATCTGCTCCCGTAAAGATTTACAGCCTAGGAAACCCTGTGCTGGGTCACTATGAGTCAGAACCAACTCTACGGAACTTAACAACAACAACAACAATTGTAACCCAAAAAACTAGACCAAGTAATACTCCTAACCCTATCCTAACCCCTACACTAACCCTAGTCCTAATCATAACCCTAATACTAAATGAAGTGCCAGGCCTAAGCCTAGACCTGGCCATAGTCCTAACTCCAACACTTCACTCCCACTACATCTATATAGGGTTCCCATCTTCCTCTCAGGGAGTGGCTGGTGGATTCAAACTGCTGACCTTGGTGTTACTGACCCAATGCATAAGCAGCCCACTATAATATCAGGAATCCTATTCCACCTAACCTC